GGAATAAAGTTTACATATTCAACTTAATGTAAGTAAATTTGAATCGAATACGCATTTGATATGAATAGGTCAACTGAATTTTGATTTGAAGTTGAAACATGCTGACTTTATGAACTCTCTATAATCCAAATTACTCTAGCAACAACAACCATCGCCGAAGGACGTCTTAATTCATCAATTAAAAGAATCTGAATATTGTGAAATTTGATGTACTCAATTACTGAACTTGTTTGAATTTGGACCATAACAAATTTTATAAATAATACCACTTATTCAGTTATTCGTGTTAATTTTTCCCAATTACGCAGAAGTAAATTGAATTGATCGAGACAAAATTGGCAAATGAAATTCGTCGCCCTCTCGAATATCATCAATACATCACTATTAATGAGGATATTTAAAAGAAAGTATCGCATTGGATTACCCGATGATCAGGTAAGAGTGAGATAGAGAAGTTGTAAATAATCTTACATCTCAATATTTATTTCGGAACTTCCTCTTTTAATGGTAATGTTAATGATGATAATGAAAATATAGTGTTCGGGAAAAATTATCTCACTAACTTTTATTTTTAGCTAAACATCAGGACTTACATGTTTTGTACTCTTTGGAACAACGTTTATTTCAGGAATTATGAAATCTATTGAGGATCGAAACAATAAATTTGTAAGGCCCACACTGAAACATTAGTTTACCGTCTTCTTACAAGAATTCTTTCAAAACAAAAACGAAAAAAATCATTTAGAAATTCTATCTCGAGAGAACCTACAATTCATGCCGAACAGAATAGAATACGAACCAGTCTTTGCGTTCCTATCTTACACTATAATTAGAAATGATAGAAAGAAAAGGATGTATGATGTATGGTAATTAACCTTGGCTAACTAGATCTCAGATTACTGAACTGATAAGGTAGGTTGAAATTATTTCAAAAGGATTTTTCAAGTTTCAACTCTTACTGGTGTTCACAAGTGAACAAGGATAAATCACTAGCTATTTGTATAAGAAATGTACAATTTTTTTTCAAGAACTTCTGCTTTTATTGCCATTATCCAAAATGAATTCTTGACCTCACAAAAATGGAGCATCTTTGTGCTAGATTGCACAAAATGATAGATGGCTATTAAAATAAATTATCAGCAACTGACATTTAAAATTATTGCTACGCATGTGAAGAAGATTGATTGAAGTAACTTTGTGTTCTTATAAATCTCAATGTGCATCCTACAATGACATTTGATGTGAAGGAAATTCATCGTTAAACTTCTCAAAAAAAAAAAAAAA